AAAAAAAAAAAAAAAAAGGTTCAATCCCGGCTGGAGAAGGCAGGGATGAGAGCTGGGCAGAGCCGGGCTCTCCTCGCAGCCATCCCAGGGACAAATCCATGGCTGACGTCACGGGGCCGGCAGGAGGGTGCGGGGGGAATTTCTTCTCCCCGGCTGCTTCCCGGGAATTCACCCGGCCCGAAGGGACAGCGGAGCGGGAACAAAGGACACGGCAGGGAACGGGGGGAGAGCGCTGGGGCCGCGCTGTGCCCGCGGCCACGCCGCGATGTCACCTGTCACCCCCGGGGTGCCACCCTGCCCTGTGTCCCCCTGTGATGTCACCCCCGCGGTGCCACCCTGCCCTGTGTCCCCCTGTGATGTCACCCCCGCGGTGCCACCCTGCCCTGTGTCCCCCTGTGATGTCACCTGTCACCCCCGGGGTGCCACCCTGCCTGTGTCCCCCTGTGATGTCACCTGTCACCCCCGGGGTGCCACCCTGCCTGTGTCCCCCTGTGATGTCACCCCCGGGGTGCCACCCTGCCCTGTGTCCCCCTGTGATGTCACCCCCGGGGTGCCACCCTGCCCTGTGTCCCCTCGTGATGTCACCCCCGGGGTGCCACCTTGTCCTGCGTCCCCTCGCGATGCCACCCCCGGGGTGCCACCTTGTCCTGTGTGTGCCCGTGATGCCGCCCTGTCCCCCGTGGCGATGTCACCCTGTCCTATCACCCCTCAGTGATGCCCCTCGCACTGTGTCCCCATCATGCCACCCTGTCCTGTGTCCCCATGACGCCACCCTCTGTGTCCCCCCCATGATTCCGCCCTGTCCCCCCTCGCGATGCCACCCTCCGTGTCCCCCCCACCATGATGCCACCCTGCCCTGTGTCCCCTAGCGATGCCACCCTGTCCTGTCACCCCCCAGCCGTGCCACTCTCCGTGTCCCCATGACCCCACCCTCCTTGTGTCCCCCCCCGCGATGCCACCTTGCCGTGTGTCCTCCATGATGCCACCCTGTCCCCCGTGATGCCACCTTGCCCTTTGTCCCCGCAATGTCACTTTGCCCTGTCACCCCCTGTCATGCCACCCTGCCCTGTGTCCCCGTCCCGGTGCCATCCCCGGTGCCAGGTCCCCCTGAAGATCCCCCGGGGGGGTCTGTGCCACCCTGGGCCCCTTCCCAAACCTGTTCCCCGAGCTGTCACTGGGGCCGGGGGTGACACATCCCAAATTACGGGGATCCCGCCTGGTTTATCCAAAAAAAAAATGCGGGATTTAAAATCGCCCCTGGAATATCGGCCCTAAGCAGCTCCGAAATTCCGCTTCTATTTTGTTTCCCCGGCAGTCAAGGTACTCCAAATCCCCCCATCCCAAATCCCTCTCCCAATCCCATCCCAAATCCCCCTCCCAATCCCATCCCAAATCCCCCCCGTGGCTGGATGGGGCAGCGGGGACAATCCGGGCTCTGTCCCTAAAAACCCGCCCGGAAAATCCGGGTTTGGCAGCCCCAGCCCATGGAGGAGCCGCCTCTGCCCCTCCTGTCCCCTCCGGCCACCACAGCGGCGTTTTGGGGACACCCCGAGCTGCCCATTGTGGCTTTTTTCAACGTGACCGCAGAGCGGGGATGGAAAAATTCCCTTCCATGCTCACCCCGCATCAGCATCTTTAGGATCAGCCCCACGCCATTGTCAGGATTTCTCCCTGCTCGGGAGCAGAGCTCACATCATTTTTCCCATTGGAAAAAAAACCAAAAAACCAACCCCAAAAACCAAACCAAACAAAAAAATTAAAACCAAGCCGTTTTCCTTTTATGCAAATCAATTTTTTTTCCCAGTTAAAATATAATTTCTGTAGTAAAAAAAAAAAAACAAAACAAAACCAAAATAAATCTTTTTTTTCCCCCTCCCGTTTCAAAAATTCATCCCAAAGCCGAGCACCTCCAAGGGTGAGGATAAATGAGGGAGGGAACAGGACCTCAGCAGGTCTGTGCCCCATGGCAGCTGCAGGGAAATGCCACAGCAGGGCCATGGAATGGGATTATGGAGCAGATGGTTCCTTTAATCCCTGCCAGGAGCTCCTGTGACCTTCCTGCCCCATTTCCAGCACAGGGACTGGAGCCCAGTGCCCTCGGGAATTCTCTTTGTGATCCCAGGTTGAGCACAACCCCTGGAATGTCGCTCCACTGCTCCCTGAGCCCGGCCCTAAAACACCCCAAGGATGGATCTTGTGGGATGGACGGGCAATTTCCGTGCCCAAATCCCTCCTGGACACACCAAAATAACTCAAATCCCCCCCCAAAAAAAAATCACAAAGCAGCTGCACGGCCCCGGAATTCCCATCCCTGGCAGGGTCCGAGGTCAGGCTGGACAGGGTTTGGAGAAATCCTAAAGGGAAGTGTCCCTGTCCTCAATCCTGGAATGGGATGAGCTTTAAGGTCCTTCCAAAGCTAAATCTGGGGATTCTGAGATCCTGTGGCTCCAGAGGTTGATATTCCTTAACCAAACCAGGAGAGCCAGGATATTCCTGCAAATCCCTTCCCAGGCCAGGCTAGGGAGGAAAAGAAAAAAAAAAAAAAAAAATTCCTTTTCATCAAATTTCCCCATTTCTGGACTGGGTTTGGGCTGTTCCCCATCACACCTGGGAATCCCCAGGCAGCTCCAGCTTTCCCTGGATCCATGGGATATCTCAGCCCTGTGAAACCCCTCCTGCCACGGGGTGAGACCAAAATTCCCCTTCCTGTGGTCAAAATTAACCAAGGACACCACAGAGCTGCTCCCAGAATGGGATAATCCCAAAAATCAGGAGGAACAGGGAGAGCTCCCTGCTGGATCATTCCTATATCCCTGGGGAGTGCAGCTGCCACCAAACCCCTCTTCCCGAGGCAAAAATCTGATATTCCCAAATTTTTTTCGAATTTACCATTTGACTTCCAACCCCATTGCGCTGCCCCAAAGGAAAATTCCCACGAAAACCCTCGAAAATCTGCGGCAGCTCCCGAAGGAACCGCCAGCAACAGATAAAACCGAGGGACAGAAGATGAAAAAAAATTAAAAAAAAATAAAAATCCGAATTAAAAAAAGGCAGCGAGTGAGTCAGGGAGCGCATTACTCATCTGCCGGCAGAGTCAGCCGCAGCTCCATGTGACAGGAGCCCGGCCCGGCCCCGCAGCCCCGACGGGATTTGCTAAATAAAACCCCAGTGCTCAGCCCGGGGCAGGACGTGGCCCTGGCAAATCCCCGGCGTTAGGAGCAGCCGGGGGTTGGTTACTGACACCGCCCCACGGCCCCCGGGATGGGGATGGGGCTCAGCCCGGATGGGGAATGGGGCTCAGCCCGGATGGATTTTGCTGGGAATTCAGCCTCGTTCCCGGTAAAACTGGGTTTAGGGACAAGGGCAGGGACATTTCCACTGTCCCAGGCTGCTTCAGCCCGGCCTTGGGCACTGCCAGGGATCCAAGAGCAGCCACAGCAAATCTGGGAATTTTATTCCAGGGCCTCTCCATCCCCACAGTCAGGGATTCCTTCCCAAAATCCACCCAAACCCACCCACTCCCAGCTCACAGCCATTCCCTGTGTGCTGTCCCTGCCTGCCTTGTCCCCAGTCCCTCCCCAGCTCTCCTGGAGCCCCTTCAGGCCCTGCCAGGGGCTCTGAGCTCTCCCTGGAGCTGATTTTCAGGATTCTCTCCTCAAAGGATCTCCCCAGCAGGGAAGGAGGCTGGGAGAGGGGAGAACCCCCAGGAGCAGCTCAGGAGGGCACAGGGGGGATCCATCCATCCCCCAGGACCCGAAATCCCAATGGGGCCACCAGCCAGGAGAGCTGAACCCCAAACGCTCCTGGGACAACCAAAGCATTCCATGAGTACCCAGAGTATCCCAGCAGGAACGGGGCTGGGGAATCCATGGGAACAAACCCCGGCAGCCTCCAGCTCATCCCAGGGGTGTCCAGGATTGGGGAATCCATGGGAACAAACCCTGGCAGCCCCCAGCTCATCCCGTGTGCCAGCAGCTCTGCTCAGGGCCACCAAACCTCGCATTTTGGCCAGCGGGGCCCCTGTGCCAGGGCCCAGAGGTTCTGGGGACACAAAGGGGACATCGGCAGGGATTTCACAGCCCTGAAGGCAGCGCTGCCGCATTCCAGGGTTTTCCTGGAGCCGGAGGTGCCTCAGGGCACAAAGGACAGAACCCCCCACCCACCCCAGGAGCTGCTCCTGCTCCAACAAACCCCAAAGGAGCAGCCAGCAGCCCCAAAACCCCAAAGGGCCATCCCTGCACACCCCATAACAAATCCCACCTCCTTCTGCTCCTCCTCCCCTGCTCCAGGATCCCCCCTGGCCCCCACCCCTAATAACCAGGCACTAATCAGGGTAATCAGCACCACCCCCACAATGGGGATGAGGTGCAGCTGCCCCGGGATGCTCCAGAATAATGAGAATGTATTAAATTTTATTTTTTTTGGGGGGAAAAAGGCATTCGGGAACTCTGGCCTGGGGGCCAGCACCCCCATTTCACACCACGTGCCTCACCTAAAATATTATTGAGCCCATTTTGGGTTTGACCCCTGGGAGCATCAGCCTGGAATGTGCTTGAGGGTGGGAATGGATCCATCCCCGAGCCTGGGGGTCAGAGCTGCGGGGGTTTTTATCCACCTGCCCACACCATTCCCGTGGGTTTTGATTCCCGGTTCTGGAAGGGAGCTTTTGCCCCCTTCAGGTAAAATTTGGCAGCTGTGTGAAGAAATTCAGAGAAACAAATTCTGCCCTGACATGATCCAGAGCTTCAGAAATGCCGCTGGAGTCTTCCGTTAAAATTCCAGGTGGTTTTGGGTCTGTCTGCTTGGACCACCGCTAATAAAGAATTTTGAATTCTTCTGAAAATTCGCTTATTCACAAAAAAGAAACAGGACTGGGAGGGGGCAGAGGTGGGGGGCGGTGCTGGGAAACATCTGGGCCAGGAAAGGCAGAGGAATCCCCGGCACAGCCCTGGGGCATCGGGATCCAGCTGTGCGGGGAATCCAGCTGTGCCCGCTCCAGCTGTGTGAGCCCTGCAGGGCTCTGGAGTGTCCCCACCGTGTCCCCAGAGCGGACATTCCCCATTCCCGGGGCACTTCCCGGCTCGGGAGCGTCCCCGCGGCCTGTGCAGCGCCGGGAGCTCGGCAGATGGAGCTGTGCAGCTGTGCAGGGACGGGACGGGGCCGGCCAGATGTGCAGGGACGGGACAGGGCTGGACAGATGTGCAGAGACGGGCTAGGGTTGTACAGATGTGCAGGGACAGGGTGGGGTTATAGAGATGTGCAGGGATGGGACGGGGCCGGGCAGATGTGCAGGGGCAGGATGGAGTTGTACAGATGTGCAGGGGCTGGACAGATGTGCGGGGATGGGATGGGATTGTACAGATGTGCATGGGGCTACATGGACTTGTACAGATGTGCAGAGAGGGTGGGGTTGTACAGATGTGCAGAGACAGAGTGAGGTTATACAGATGTGCAGGGACAGGATGGGGCCGGACAGATGTGCAGGGATGGGATGGGGTTATACAGATGTGCAGGGGCCGGACAGATGTGCAGGTACCGTGTGCTCACCTGGTCCTGCCGTCCGCTCCGGGCTCACCCCACACCCCCGTGGGCAGGGCTGTGCTGTCCCCAGTGTCCCCAGCAGAGCAGGGACAGGAGTGGGGACAGTGCCACAGCAGGGTGACAGAAATGCCTCAGTGGGGCAGGGCCTGGGGACAGGGAGACCTCGGGGATGGGAATTCTTGGGTTTGGGCTCTTTGTGTCACCCCAAAAGGGACATTTGGGAGAGCTCAAACACCCAAACCCATCTCAGACCCCATCAGCTGGGCCACAACCTGCCCTGTCCTTGCTGGCCACCCCCGTGTCCCTGCGGTGTCCCTGCGGTGTCCCCAGTGCCAGGCTGGGACATTTCCCACCTCCCCTCCCCCCGGAGCCCTCGGCCCCGCTCCAGCTCTGATAAAATCTGGGCTTGGTGCGCCTGCCCCCGGCTCCTTCCTGTTTTTGAGTGCAGAACTGTCAGCACTTCACATTTTCACTTCTCTTTTCTCATCCGTGGGAGTTCCAGGTGAACTCTGCACCAGGGGCACCCAAATCCCCTCGTCTGGCAAAGAGCTCCCAGCCCTCGGGGCCGGCTCAGAACCTGGGAATGCTCCATCCCAAACGGAGCTGGAGACCAGGGACAGACAAATACGGAATCACTGAGGTTGGAAAAGCCCTCTGAGGCCACCACTGACCGTGTCCCCAAGTGCCACATTCACAGGGATTTTAAATCCCCCCAGGCATGGGGACTCACCACTGCCCTGAGCAGCTGTCCCAATGCCTGGCCACCCTTTCCATGGAGAAATTTTCCCAAATATCCAACCTAAACCTCCCCCGGTGTCACTTTGAGGCCATTTTGTCCTGTCCCTTGTTCTGGCTCTGTCACACATCACTGGGCAGGTGGGAACAGCCTCACTCACCCCGAACTCCCATGGAAAAAAGGGGGAAAAAAGGCCATGGAAATCCAGCTGCACCCCCAGGAGAGCAGGCTGAGCTGGGAAAAAGCAGCAGGGCTCGTTCATTATTTTATTTCTCTGCATCACAGGCTCTGTGAACAGCGCTGACCTTGGGGTCAGAAGTTTCCTGGCTCTGTGGGACCCTGGGAAGGGCTGGGTCTGCTCCCATTGCCCATCCCCGGGATTGATGCCCGTGCGTGGGTTCAGGGCTGGTGGAAATCCCCCTGAAATCCCAGCTCTGTTACCTCAGACGGAAACGATGTCCCTGGGGACGAGGCCAGCTGTCACTCGGGGGCTCTGGGTGACATCTGTGGTGAATGCTGGCAGCACGGAGGGGACAGATCCCAGTGCATCCCTGTTCATCCCAGTGCATCCCAGTGCATCCCTGTTCATCCCTGTTCATCCCTGTTCATCCCAGTTCATCTCTGTTCATCCCAGTACATCCCAGTGCATCCCTGCTCATCCCAGTGCATCCCAATGCCTCCCAGTCCCAGGAAGGTGCAGACCCCGAGCTGGGGTCTCCCCCATTCCCCCCGCACACCCCAGGAGCTGCTGGGAGTCCCCTGAAGGGACTTGGGGACCACCAGGGAGGGCGAGCAGCAGCCACCAGCCCCGCTCCGGAGGGACAAGGCAGCAGCACATCCCTGCTCCATCTGCCCAAGGAATCCCGTGAGAGGGATCCGTGCCAATCCTGGCAGCTCTGGATGTGGGGACAGCAAAGCAGAGCCACGGGGAATCCTCATCCCCCGAGGAACGGAGGGCACTGAGCCAGAGAATCACCTGAACCGGGATTTCCACCCTAAAACCAGGGAAAACAGAAGGGTCCGGGCTGGTTTTGCGGCGCAGAAGCCACTGGAACATTTTCCCGGCTGCTGCTGCGGGGAGGGAGCAGGGAAAGGCGGCTCTTGCCAGCTCCAGAGCTGCCTGAGATCCCGAGGAGCTGGCAGAACTGGGTCAGGGAAGGGATGGGAATGAAGAGAGCGAGGGCTGGAGAGAGGAGAGGGGGCAAGGACAGAGCACCCACCCTGGCACCCACCCTGGCACCCACCCTGGCACCCACCCGGGCACCCACCCTGGCACCCACCCGGGCACCCTGACCCACCGTGGGTGCTTCAGCAGCAGCCCCAGGGCTTTCCCCTCCCAGAATGTTTTTCCAGCCCAGTGACCCCTCCCCATCCCCGCACATCCCTCAGGGACGTGGAAAGGATGAGCTGGGGGGAAGGGGGGATGGTTTAAATTAAAAGGGGAGAGATTTAGATGGGATATTGGGAAGGAATTGTTCCGTGGGGGGGTGGGCAGGCCCTGGCACAGGGTGCCCAGAGAATTGGCTGCCCCTGGATCCCTGGCAGTGTCCCAGGCCAGGTTTGGAGCACCCTGGGATGGTGGGAGGTGTCCCTGCCATGGCAGAGGGTTCCTTCCAACCCAAACCAATTCCAGGATTCTGTTAATCCACTGGGAAAGACAAATCACTCCTGGCCCTTCAGGGAGTTTCTACCAAGGAATTTTCATCGGGGAGTTTCAGAGGTTCAAACCCCGTTCAGGTGCTGGGAAAATCCCCCATGGTTGGCTGAAGTCCCTTCTTTAGGGACAGGAGGGGTGGGACAGGGACAGGAGGGGTGGCCTGGCAGTGGCTGCTCCGTGGAGCGCTGGGTGGGAACGGAGCCACGGCCGGAGATCCACGCGTGTCCTCCTGCGGCTGCACCTCGGAGCCAGAGAATCCAGGGAAAAACTGTGGAGCTCCAACAGGGGACACTGCCGGTGTCACCCCTCAGGGGACACTGCCACCCCTCAGGGGACCCTGCCCCGCTCTGCCGCAGCTCCTGCCCTGGCACAGGATGTTTTTTACTGGAAAGTCGCTTGTTTTGGGTCAGGCAGGGACATAAAAGCTGCCGTGCGCGGCCACCGCTTCCTGTCTGCGCTCGCCTTCCTGTCGCCTCCGCTGCCACCGCAGGAAGGACGAGGTCCCCGGGCGACCCACGGATGGTGGCCCGGCCACCGGGAACGCTGCTCTGCCCCTGCTCCTGCTGGGACCACGGGAATGGGCAATGGGGTGGCCATGGGAGGGTCTGGGGTGGCCATGGGAGGTTTTGGTTTTCAGACATTGCAGGTTCTGGGTTTTGGCTACAGGAGGTTCTGGATTTAGGACACTGGAGGTTCTGGATTTAGGACACTGGAGGTTCTGGATTTAGGACACTGGAGGTTCTGGGTTTCAGCCACAGGGGGGTTTTTGCATTTTGGCCACAGAAATGTTCTGAGTTTTGGCTGTGAGAGGGTTCTGGGATTGAGCCATGGGAGGTTCTGGGTTTAGGACACTGGAGGTTCTGGGATTAGGATAAGAAAGGGTTCTGCATTTCAGACACTGGAGTTTCTGGATTTAGGACATTGGAGGTTCTGGGTTTAGGACACTGGAGGATTTGGGGCTTTGGCTCCAGGAAGGTTCTGGATTTCAGCTGTGAGAGGTCTTGGACTTTGGTTGTGGGAGGTTTTGGGTTTTGGCCAAAGGAAGGCTCTGGATTTCAGCCATCAGAGGGGTTTGTGTTTTGGCCACATCAGGGTTCTGGGTTTTGGGCCCAGGAGGGTTTTGGGACAGGGCCATGGGAGGGCTCTAGGTTTGGAGGTGCCATTCCTGTGCCCCGAGCAGTGGTGACACAGCCCACGCTGTCCTGCTGACAAAAGCTCCCAGAAGAGCCTCAAGGCTGGGTCATGCTTTCATTTATTCACTTCATATAAAAATCTCTTAAGAATGCGTCTGAACACAATATAGAATACTATAACATACATAGTGTGAACCTTTGGGGAACAATAAAATAACCACCTGGAACAATGCAGTGTTCAACAGACAAACAAACCCATTGATCATGCACAACTGTGCTATTGTCATGAACTAATTAGTCACGAGTTGGACCAAAAAGCTTGAAACATATTTTACAAACTGAGATTGACACCGCTCACGATGCCGGACAAGCTTTGTCAGAGGAAGTTTCACAGCACAATTATTACATCAGTTCACTTTTTTTTTTTTTTTTCTTTTTTTCTTTTTTGTCATAGAAATTCACATTGGGTTGTTCAGAAATTGGAACATTGTGACATTGAAAAGCCGGCCCGGGCGTGGGGAGCTCTTTGTTCGGTTCCCCCTCTCTGCAAATTCCTGGCAAATTCCCAAATTTGCTGCCCTGGGATGCGCTGTCCCCTCCCCATGGGCGGCTGCCACCCGAATGCCCTTCCTGGGTTGTGTCTGTCTCTTCAGCTATGTTCAGGTTTCTGGGACTTTATGCAATACAAAAGGTTACAAGAAAAAAAGGCAACTCTTATTCCGAGTTTTCTACCCCATTAACATCGCCGCCGACAGGCGATGCTAATTCATATAAATTAATAACTTACAAAACATTACAGTATGTACAGTAGGTAATAAATACACTGTTATAAACAGTAATGGAGGTGGTAGAGCTCGAGGCAGTGCAGCAGGAGGAGGAGGATGGTGGAGCTAAACCTAGGGAACGTGGACGAGAGGCCAGAGGAACACAAATATCCGAGCGTGCAAATTCCAGGGAGCTGCCGAGGGGGAAGGCGTGCCACACGCTGCCTTGCCACGCTTAACTCAGGGATGGGCTGAGCTGTGCCAGGGGGGAAAAAAATAAAATAAAATAAACCCAAAAAACTGCCCTCTGTCCTGCTCACCACAAACCCAAACCCCAGGGAGGAAAAGAGAAATCTCGCCGTTGCCAGCGAGGGAAGGGTGCACGGCGGCACCGAGGGGTCACCGGGGGGATTAAGAACACACTGAAGGTGCAGCAATGCAAAGCAGAGGGTTTCCCCTCCTCTTTAGTCTGTCAAAGTGATTAACTGCAATAAAGTGACAGGTATTGCCCATGGAAAAAAAAGGAAGACTGCTTCTGGTAACAGGAAGAATCCAAAAAGTAGCCGTCAATTCCGAATCGCCTTGTGTCGCTTTTGAACTACCAAGCTCCGTGTGTTGGATTAAGAGACTCTTGAAAAGACATGAAAGTGTTTACAAAGAAGGCACACAGGTCTGCAGACAGGTGGACAGGTTGGATATGAGTTATTGATCAGTAGTTTCTATCAGTCTAACTGGTATAAACTCCAAAACTAACAGTATAAAATCTCTCAGTTGTGTGTCAGCGCCGCCTCGGGCCCGACCCAAGCCAGCTCCGGGACCTCTCGGCTGACGAGGCTCAAACCACAACGCAAATCACCCGTGCATTTCCTGAGCAATCGTTCCCTACCCCATCCTGACCCTGACTCCAATCTCGGGCAGCTGGAGGATGTGTCAGCCCCGAGGCAGAGCCCCAGCCCCGCTGCAGAGGCTGTCGGAGACCGCTGCAAGCTCTGCAAGTGTTTAAAAGCCACTCCCGCGGGGTTGGGCCATTATGTGTCCACAGGGGATGTGTCTTCTGTCACAATCTCGATGGTGGCCTCCCTCTGGGGCTCCTCGAGCCCTGGCTGGGCCGTGCAGAGTGTCTCTGTATTGCTGAAGTAGCCGAGGCTCTCGCCGTCCTTCTCGGGGCCGTCCGAATCCTCCTCCTCCAGCGTCAGTTCAAACTGGAACTTCTCCATCAGCCCCTGGCAGTCCTGGCCCCGCTCCTCCAGGGGAGGGGATGGGCTCTGAGGTATCATGCTCTGGTACCAGTTCCTGTTGTCCTCCAGAGTGTCCAGGATGTCCTGGGCGTCGGGCTGCACCAGGTCAGCCCACGTCTCCCACAGCGGGTGCACGATGTAGTCAATGAATCCCACCTGGAAAACAGAAGGACACACACACTGAGGGCAAGGCAATCACCAGGGAAAAGGTCAGGTCTGAAAAAGTTCGTGTTTTATTCATTTTACAAGCAAAACACCGAGAGTGAGTCCCCAAACCAGCACAGCCTAGAGCAGACACAATTATCTGACACCCGAACTGCAGCCACACACAGAGCTGGGCTGGGCTGGAGTCTCCTCCAAAACCAAACCTTGGGTGACGTTTCACTAAAAGCAGGAGCCAGCAGGAAATTCAGGGGACAGAGCCCTGGGCTGATCCCCTGAAAGGAACAGGGGGGATTCTGCTCCTCTGCCCCTCTCAGGTGAGGCCACACCTGCAGAGCTGCCCCAGCCCTGGGGAACAGCAGCAGGAGGAGCTGGAGCTGCTGGAGAGACTCCAGAGGAATCCATGGAGCTGCTGCAGGGCTGGAGCCCCTCTGGAGCCAGGCTGGGAGAGCTGGGGGTGCTCACCTGGAGAGGAGAAGGATCCAGGGAGAGCTCAGAGCCCCTGGCAGGGCCTGAAGGGGCTCCAGGAGAGCTGGGGAGGGACTGGGGACAAGGCAGGGAGGGACAGCACACAGGGAATAGCAGATGGATTTTGGGCAGGAATTGTTCCCTGGGAGGGTGCAGGAGCCCTGGAATAGAATTCCCAGATTTGCTGTGGCTGTCCCTGGATCCCAAGGCCGGGCTGGATGGGTTTTGAGCACTCTGGGATATTGGAAGGTGTCCCTGCCATGAGCTGGAACTCTCTCAGCACTGGGGGAGTCTGCTCCTCTCAGACACAATTCCCTGGAGACAAGGCTGGAGCATTTATGGCTTTATCCCAGGGTTCCCACACAACTGACAGCTGGGAACACCCCAGAGCTCCCAAGGGGAGCAGCCTTTATGTGCTGAAGTTCAAACTTTGGGTTTCCTTTCCTTTTCCTTTTCCTTTCCTTTCCTTTCCACTTTTGGGTGCAGCTTGCACCAATTCCAAACCATTCCACCACCCCACACTCCCAACATTGCCATTTTCCTCTTTCCCCCTGCCAAAAGCAGAGATTCCCTTGGGAAGAGCAGAGCCAGCTCATGCTGGGAATGCTGCCTGGCCCCCGTGAGTGACGTTCCAGGGGTGGAAAGAGTGAGGGATGTGCTGCTCCATCAGCTCTGACTCAGGGAGGAACCACGTCCAGGAAGGGCCATAAAGGGCATTGGAATTCTCCTGTCTTGGCAGAGCCTGTCCCCAACTCCAGGGCTTTGTGTGGAGCAGGGAAATGGCTCTCCCAGGAGCCAGGCTCAACGTGCAGATGTTTGCTTTGGAAAACACTCCCGGCTCCCTCAGACACAACAGGATGTCAATAGGAGATGAAAATCCAATTGGAAACGGGCAGGGAGGCAGCTCCAGCAAAAAGGTGGTGAAAAGTGGGGGGGAAAAAAATGAGTTTGGGATGGTTGGAAGTCAAAATTACTCCACGGGTAAAAATCAGCACTCGTTAATCATTGTTCCTTTAAAATCATTGTTCCTTTAAAATCATTGTTCCTTTAAAACCATCCCAAATCATGGAATAACTGGCCACACGGCTCAGCACTGATCCTAAAACAATGAGAGGGCATCTCAAGCTTTGAAATATTTGCATATTGTTTGCCAATCCACTCCTTGTTTCCCTCCAGCACGGACACACCGTTTCCCTTTCTCCTTTGCCATTCCACGATGGACATTTTGTGCAATTCCTGTATTTTCTGCACAGCAAAAATGCCATTTTGAAGCCTCTGGGAAGAGCAGATGTGAAGCAAAGGATGAATTGGAGCTCACATGTGGAGCACATGGGCAAGGCTGGCTGCAGGATTCATCTCTTGTGAGGTTAAGAAATCCGACAGATTTTTCCAACGAAATCACCACGCGGTTGAGTGAATAATTTTGAAAGCACTTGGCTGAGCCCAAGAGGACATTTGGAAATAATTATCATCAATTTTGTTACTTATTCAAGCTGAAAAACCTCAGTGATGACTTGCTGGAGTCATTCAAAAACAACAACCAAGACAGTGTTACATAAAGGCTGGAATCTGTTTGGACAAACATAAATTCCTGGTTTCATTCCAGACTATCCAGGCGAAATTTTATGGCCTGTGCTACACAGGTCAGAACAAAATCTGACCTTGAAACCATTTTATGAATCAGAACTAGGGATGAGCCAGCTCATCCCTCCCCAAAAAAGAGGCAAATCCAGCTCCTTTTAAGTTTTGCAGGGACATAAATGAATATTTTTGGGATTCACCCTGCACAGGGCAGCTCCAAAAGCCTCAGATTCAACTGGACACGAGCACTGCAGGATTGTCCTGGATAAGGAGGGACATCCAAATCCTGCAGGACCCTCAGGTGGATCCCAGCTGGGAGAAGCTCCCAGTCCAGCAGATCAGTGGGGTTGGGCAGAGCAGAAATGCCCTTTCCAAAAAGACCCAGCTCCCTCTGGAAACACGAGCAGGGAATGAGGAGATGCCCAAGGGGATGGAGAGGAGCTGGAAGAGCCTCTCGAGCCTGTGAGAGCCCCAGGCAGAGCTGGATGTCAGGGTGGATCAGAACTGCCAGCTCTCCTGCAAGAACAGCTGAATTTTCTTTGAAATGCCAAAACTGCAGCCAATCCCAACCAATTACCTGGGATTTTTCCACGGAGGCCGTGTGTTTGTCACACATGGGGCTGATTTCCATGCCCCTCTCCCTCTCCTTGTCTCCCTGCTGGAAGAATTCCTCCATGATCCTGTCTGTCCACTGCCGGTACAGCTCCAGGGACTTGGTGGGGTTGCTCAGGTCTGCACAGTGCACCATGTTCCGGAGAACCTGCAATGACATCCACCACGAAACTCAGAGAGTCAGAGGGGGAAAGAGCAGCAGGAGGAGCTGGATCTGCACAACATTGCACCAAAAGATTCTCTGGTTATGAAACGAGCCATAAAAATATCAGGAATATTGCACTGGGGCACGTTAAAGATGTGGAGCTGCTGGAGAGACTCCAGAGGAATCCATGGAGCTGCTGCAGGGCTGGAGCCCCTCTGGAGCC